AATGGCATCAATTTCATTTGATATATTTCAATTTGTACAAATACATCCCGTACACACACGTATAATTATGTAAAATAAATAGGGTTTTATATTACGTATAACAGTGTAGTTTTCGCAGAGTTTCATTCAGTATTGTATTTTTTTTTAAATCTGACAACCATTCGCCAGTTTCCTTGCCTTATGGTTATTTGCTTGTCATTTCAAAATTAATTTTAAGTAATTATACATGGGCAGTGCTTATGGCACAAGTAAAACTTTAAAAAAAACTTAATCTGTATTGTCTAGATATAAACCATATTTACCAATATAGGGTCGACCAAAATAACTGATTCGAAGATAGACATGAAAAAAGTCGTAAGCCACTCCTCTGACTTTTGTTTCCCCCACTCAATACTGTACAAAACAATGAAAAACGCAGGCGCAGCAATGGCAGTCAACACTAACAACCATCCGATATAAACAAACCTTGAAATAAAACAAATGATTTTTACAATATTTCAATTAAGTATTCAATTGTTTAATAAAATTGCAGATTTTTTAAATGTCGTACACTGCATTTTGTAGCTTCGTAGTGTGAAACTACACCAAACAAACAAACAAACAAAGAAATATTATATTAAGCCTAACCTTTGCACTAAAAATGCTTTACGATATTAATAGTCTAAGAACAGAGATAAACATTCATATCATATACCTACCAAAATGGGAAAACCAGTCCTGCGTTAAGTTCCGGTGTTTCAGAAGAAAGTTGTATTTCTCTAAGTCGGTCTTCGTTAGTAGCAGAACGTTGTTTTCGGCAACATGTGTTGCCCCTCTTTTTATGGTCGTCATTTGTTTGCTTCCTCCGTCTAGTATGTTGAAATATGTATACAATCAACATAATTGGAGGCGTGGTTATAGCAGCACAGATAATAGATATGTATATCTGTAAACATATTAGTAATTGCATTCGTCTGAGAGTAAAGTACATGACAAACATTTATTGAACTACAATCGAGTCATAGATCACTACTTAAAAAATTTATAACTCATGTCCAAGTTTTTTTCCATTTTGGAAGCTGGAATGTTAAACACACACCCGTAAAATATTAAATACACAAAGAGAATGACTTAAATAAGAACAAAACAAAGGGCATTAATGATGTAATCACCTGCTGTTTTGTGAAGCGAAATGGTCCAACTTCAAGAATGGCAGGTGATATATAATTGGGTTCTGGATTAAAGTACATGGCATTCGCAAGCATTGTAAGAAATATGAAAGCTAATGCACATGACACACGCTGTACTCGAGTAAAGGTACTTGTCTGTGGGCGATATATTATTGAAATCCAAGTGTGGTTTTCCGAGAACTTGTCTCTTAGTTGGAAGAAGAATCGAGATTCAAATTTTATCGGATAATTGCAAGGGCTTGATGGCAAACATGCATCTATGTGGGTGTTTACTGAAAGCCACCTTTCAGCTACGAAGGTGTATCTGTAAATTGCATAATAACATTATATAATTATGTGATTGTTTAAAAGCTTAAAGTATTGCAAAAAGATTGACGTTACTTAAAGGAAACTTTTAAAACAAAATTGAATTTTGCATGTTCGAAATAAATTGTTGGATTAACGATTGAAATGCAACATGTAAAAGGCAGATAACTCAAACATTCATGGTTTTGATTATGAATATCAATGTTCAACAAAGCTTGCTACCGTCCATTTTCCATGGTGCTGCCTACAGACAGTTTATTTTCGGTATAACTGAATAGTGAAAGTGCAACTGATTTAGTTTTGTATATATCGTGATCATAATATTAGGATCTTGTCTTTAGTCATAAATAATTATGTCATAATATATAGAAGACCCAACTATATGTATTTATTATAGTTATTAGAATATTAAATATCAACTTGTACATTTATGACAATTTTTGTTTACATTTTTCACATATTATTGTAGCATATGAAATATTTCAATACACATTACAAAAAATTGTAGAATGGATTTTATGAATATTGTATTAAAAAGATCTACACAAACTTACGCTTTTAATGTCTCTATGTCATAGACAACTACTTGGTTGAGGTACCATTCGGCCTGTGACCCGCCACTATTGTCATGCCAAATATAAAGATGTAACAAATCGCCAAGCGGCTGATTTGTTGACATGAAGAAGGACATGACACTGCCAGTACTGAATTCCTGAGGGAGTCCAAATAAGATATAATATATTTGCAATGAAGGCGTTACAAAAAACATGCTTTTATGCTTTGAGTGTGAGGGATGTTGCACTTTTTCATGATCTCTCATGTAAAGACACCATCAAACTGAGTCTGCAATTTTCATGTTATCTTGTTGTGATAATGCTTCGGAGAGATCACCCTTTCTTCTTCGACAAATATTTGGATGATCAGGTATAGAAGGAGCAGATGTAATATCACAATACCATAACTAATTTTAAAATATACTTAATATGAAACCAATCTTATTAAAATCTGCTCCAAATTAACGGTGCGTTTCGTGCAAGAATTAACGTGAGTAGATCTGCACTTTAGTCAGATTGTACGAATTCAGATTTAAAATACATCAACAATTCTAGTTCTGCATTTGATCGTCAACAGTTTATGATTTGTAAAACGCAAAACGTAAGGCGCAATGGTTTAAAAAGTTTGTGATTTGTACGGTGATTACTCATGTACATCCAGGAAAATTTAATGTAAATGGCCTACTGGTACACTACTCCTTAATTATAACAACATAAAAACAGCATATGAAATCATTAGGCATAGAAAAAAAACTTTAGACATTCTAAATATGATCGTAAAAGAATAAATACCTCTCTGACGCCATCGTACAATTCACGTGGTCTGGTGCTACCATTTGAACCAGTCAGGACAAATGCGACACGTGACTTAGTTCCCGCTCCGCGCCTCATTCCGGTAAATACTTTTATTATGTAATAATTAATTTCATTTATCGTGTTGTCTCTTAATGGTGTTATTCCCCACTACAAGGAAAAATAAACTTATTAAACCAAATACACAATTTATGAAAAATAACATACTTTGTAAATAAGAATATTATTTCACGACGTTTGTTCAACAAATACTGTCGGCTTATTTTAAGTTTTTATATCTTAGACTAACTGAAAGCTGTATTATTGGATTATATTTACAACAAACTTATCTCTATATTAATGCAGTAAAAAATGTATTTGCTTAGTATTTTTTGCTTCATTTTTATTTCCCTTTCATTACTGTTTGGTACTATCCATATTTCGCAATTTCAATAACATTATTCGCCAAATATTTAATTAAAGAACATGATGGGGAGAATTGTACCTTCAACGAATCCTGTCTGTCTAAACCGGATAAGAAAATAACAGCAACAATATAGCACACAAACAGCACACTAAACGTCCCTATAACGGCCGCTTGGTTCAGGGGAGAAAATCGCAAAAACACGGTATTAAAGTCTATAGAGTTAGGTGCCACAAAGAATGAATTGGAGAACACCAGGTCAGTGATGTCTTTGCAGAAACACGACACAAGATTTTCGTCTGGTTTCCATTGAAGCTTTAAAAGAAAATATAAATTCCTTTTATACAAATCAAATAATACATAAATTACTCGTAAACATAATTTGAAAAGGAAACATTGTTAACAAAAATGTATTATTGAAACACCAAGTTTCTTCAAATTAGTTTTAGACATAGCGACTGACGCAACAAATTGTCAAAGAGGTACACAATAATGCATAGATTTTAATACAGACAATCTCTTCCAGTGCAAAAAGATATTGTTATAAATAAATGTGTTCCTGTAGAAATGAAATTATCAAATATATTATCATTATCATAGTTCTTCCCTTTAATGAATCAATATATATCTGAAAGTGATTAAATATGCTTTAAAATGCCTGCACGGTAGTAAGTAAGTTAGTAAAATATTCTATTATGGTGACAATTCCTCACAACCCGCAATAGGTGAATGGCTATAAGCAAACGATTATTATTAAAAGTCGTAGGAATGAGGACAATTGTGGAATCAAAATACCTCACACTTGTCCGTATGCCATTTTGATCTCTTTTCTTCCCAAGTCAGACATCCAACAGTTACAATTGTCAGGTTGTAAGCTACAGATGTCACTGAAATTACAGTATTTATTGATATTATTTAGCTCAGACTTATATGACTATATTTGAGAAAGAACATTGATCTTGGCAGATCAATGCAAGAAGCGATACTTTGCAATGTTCCACTTTATTGCAGGAATGGCAATAAATTACAGTATTGCAGCATTTCAATATAGTGTGCAATATTTTTCTAAGTAATGCATAAAGAGTTTCAATACATTGCGACCATTGCAATATTATACCGATTATTGCAACACGTTTAGATGTTACGCAATGTTTAACTTTGTGACTGCAGTATATTAAGATGTCACTAATTATACTATTTTTCTGCAAAAGTGTAAACGGCTCGCAATATGTCACTATTTTTAAGTATTGTACAGAAATGGCACTGAATAATTCTTAAGCCCTTATGCGTTATGTTTATAGAAAATGCAATTAATGATTCTTAAGTGTGTATGAACTGAAATAGAAATGACGCTGATTCAGCAAAGGCAATATCAACAAGGCAACAAATGCCACTATCAACATAAAAAGCAACACAACCTACTTCAAGCTTAGGTTAAAAAGAACCCAATTTCTTTATGACATAAAAATTAGCAAATAACTTACTGTTCCCTGGTAACTGGACGGCCATATATGTAAGTCCGGTATGACTTCTCATTTTTTCTGGTGGAATACATAGCTGCCAATTAAAGTCTCCCTTAACGTAAACATTAAAATCAAAATCAATTATAGATGGCACTGAGCTGTATTTTATATACACACGGTATTCGGTAAAGTTGTACAGTCCTTGTGGTTCAATAATTATACATAATTCGTCCGTTGACTTCTGATAAATCAATCTATGATACATAAACTCTGACACATCCTCTTCGTGGACCTCGGGAATTACGTACTCCGGGATTGGTGTAATAACCGTTTGTTGAAACGTCATGTATCCAGGGGTTACACGCGTATCGACTGATTTAACATCGACTCGAAGCACCTTTGACGTCACAAAGCTTGATGTGCTGTCGTTGTCATACATGTAAACATTCTCTTGAAATTCAAATGCCTGAAACGGACAAAAATATAACTGGGATTTATTGTAGTCATAAAATCAGAATGCAACGACAAGAAGGTAAAGCTGAACAATCAAACTACAGAATTTTTGTTCTATGGCAGATTCAGTTTTATGTTAACCGCTGTCCAATTAATTAAATCTTCCATGCAATTCATTGCTTTTACTTCTTGGGCTATTCCTATAAATTTAAAAGTGATAACTGCATCACGTTATGCAGATGTTTTATAATTAAATTCATGCTGTAAGTAGAAGAATCTGACTGTACGTAAATGTCATCTTTGGTAAAAAATATATAATTTTCTGAAAAAGGTCTTAACATAATGCTGAAATCAAAGTCATATTCCATACTGACTGATAAAACAAGTTCCTAAGCCATTGGACATGTTCTCCTGTGCCCTTGCAATCACACTTTTAATTTACATTTTAATTTTACATTACATTCGGATCTGAGAAAACAACAAATTTAGGGTATACTAGTTTAATGACTCCTTTGAAGAATTATGTCCACCATAAAATTCGAACACACGACCATCATAGATGCAAATGAATTGAGATGTCAAGCACAAGCTATCGTGACAAAAACAAATTTAAAATGTCACCTACTGAGACTGACACCGTGTCAAAGGTGTCATAGGTCAAATTTTCTAGCGTCTCGCCCAGGCCGTCAATACGGAATTTAGATGTGGCCGTAGCCGTCATCTTGGTCATAAATTTGTTTGATTTGTCATTCTTTAGTAACTGATTTGTTTTACTGTTACGGGCGTTACTGCATCGTCTACAAAGCTTCCACTGGTTCTGCACTTCTTGCGCTAGTTCAAGTGTCATGTTTGCAGCCTCCTTTGCCTGAAATATTTAATTAAGCAAGCGATCCTGATTTATAAAATAAACCGTTAGCACATACTATAAAACAACACTTGAAAGACATTTTCAAGTTTCTTGAAATATTCAAAAAGAAGGATAATTACTTTTTTGTTGCTGCTGAATGATATACAAATTAAAAAATCTAAAACCAAAATAATATAAAAATGTCACCTATAATTGTTGATCAGACCAATGACACCATTCAAATAACTTTTTTCGCCCTTATCAACTCTTAAAAATTGTAAATTTATTTAACCTGAGCAGCTAGCTGATGGTTATATAGTAAACAACAATCTATACACGGTTTATGAGCATTACAGATGTGTTTAATGATATAGTAATATTGCTGCACAATTTTAGATGCCTTGTACATAGATAATATTGAATATCGCGATAATCAAATGAAAAACAACATTACAAACGTACATTGTAATTGAACAAAATATTTAGTATTTTATCGTCATCACAGCCAACTTTGTTCTTCATAAAAGCGCATAACAGACTACTCTTATTATCTCGTATCAGAGACGACAAAAATGACGTCATATTATGGTCTTCAGTTGATGTTCGGTTTTTTTCGTCATTATGTGGTCAGTTCTATTCATTTAGAATATGCAAAGCCCTTACCGTTTTCTTTTTCTCCTCTGTGTTATATTTGAGATGTTTTTGCATCCGCACGTACAGATACGCCCGTTCTACGGGTGACAACTGAGAGTCGTATAAACTAATATTCTCAGATAATGCTAACAACATCTCATCAATCTGTAACATTGTAAAATAAGTCTTTGTTATTAATCTAAATTGCTTCTTTAAGTGTCAGTTAACTTCTAAATAGTGCAATTAAAGCATTCACGATTACGTTAGCTGTCCGATATAAATAATAATGACCGTCTGAGCGTAAACTATTAAACTATTATCTTTTGTCAGATAATAACATTCAGTTGAGTATACCTGCGAAGTAGATTACAAAAAAAACATGGAGATTCTCAGTGCTGTGTACTATTTCTTATATTAGCATCTTCCTAATTCTAATTACAAGTATACACATTTTGACACTCATATAGCGTGAAATTAATTCGCAGAATGTTCATTTTTCTAAACTATCTTTATTTTTAGTATGTAGAGCTATTGTAACATGAATTCATTGTTTTATAATGTAACCCTATTTACATATTTTCTATATTTTTTAAGGTTATCAACTTACATTATTTCTACCTGAAGCAAGGTTACCAACGGGTCTTATTTCTATAAAATCATCAGGTACAGAAGCTCGCACTATCTCTTGAAACATAAAGTATATTTCTGAAAAATGATTCAAATGGTAAAATTCGAGATAGTTCGTAATATTCCGGATATGTAGTCACTTCCCGGATATTCAGTCGTCACTTTCGATCAAGTATCAATTTCTAATGAGCCTCGATCTGATTAGGGAAAAAAATCTCATTCATCTATTGATAATTGATGCAGAAAAAGCTAAGGCAACAGACAATCATGTTTAACGACTTTTAGATCAAATGCTCTACTATGATATTTCTAACATATTATTTTCTCAACAATAATACTCGTATGTTATTGTACAGTGTTTTAACTTAACATACATTTTGTTTAGATATGAAAATATAAAAATTTTCTTGCTAAAATTGATTTCAAAATAGCTTTGTCGTACTTATTGAGACTGATTACTTGAATATGTTAATTCTTCTGATATGTTTCTATTCTATATTGAAAAACTTGGGAATATATTTTAAACATCTCAATGTTCCATAAGACTGTCACGTAGAACTGTCGCCTCGCCCGACCGTCTTTATAAATCAAGTTTTTAAACCCTATTGAACTAAACGGGCGGACAGAAACGCCAAATGTTATAGTAACAAGAAATAAAAACATACTTATATATATACTTATATATATATATAGTCTTGGTAAAGATATTATATTTTCTGCAGGCAATGGACATTGTCCCTACACATTCTAATACGCTTAAGCTTATTACTTCTCAAGTCATTAATCAGACAAGGAATGTACGAAATACGTCACTGTGACATTGACCCCTAACACAAAGACCTCGCAATTTAAATAGAGTATCTACGATACTGACAAAAGGAATTGACGCAATGAAGATGTATGTCTCTCAAGTGATTGATAGTATAAAAATTTAACATAAAGATCCACTTTGACATTGACCCTAAGTTTTCCAAACTCAAAATCAACAGTCCTTTACTAGGAATAACCAAACCAATGTTTACACAATTACTTCGGACTCTTGACCTGAGTGTTCTCTATTTATTGGCAGGAAAACTTTAAGTAATCAAGGCCAAAGAGACAAATGAGCAATGGCCTCAAACCGAACCCTTCGTCTGTTCATGTCCACACTTATCTAATAACTGTTTGTTCTTATGAATAAAGGACATAATTATTCATATCCATTTACAACTACAGCATCATCAAAAGTAAATATTTTATAAATATAATTCAACGTGTACCCCCAGATGATGTTTCCGTCTGGGCTGCATTATCACCGGAAGCATTTTGCGGCAGAAGGGCATCAAAGCCAACTATCCTCGCTAAATATATGATATTGATCTGAAATAAACAATAAAATTATCACCTCGAGAAAAGTCAGGTGGTTAATGCTGGTTGAAATCTCAACATGGACAATTATACTTTTATGCGATGATTGCAGACCTAGCTGACTTGAAATGGCTCTACTTGAATGCTCATTAAAATATTGAAAGGAGGGAGTCTGCTTCCCAAAGGATGACCGTGGATTAGTGAAAACCTAATATTGCATGGAGAGCAGCCTAACAAGTAAAGCTAGTGAGACGCCGTTTGCAAAATTAATGTAGGTGTTGCATTAAAAAACAAAACCAGACAACGATAGAATTGCGCTTCTTTTTCTTTCAAAATTATTTCTGATATGTTCCATTTTGTGTGTATAGAAGCAGCTACCATATTCAATTTACAATAGGAAATATTCATGCAAACTTATTTTTCCTTTAAAGAGTGCTAAGTTGATAACAATCAAACCTTTAAATTTAATTTAAATGAAAAAGATGAAACAACTACTAAAGTAGAAGCATTAAAGTATGTTTACTGAGTTAGTCTTAAGATAATAAGTATGATAAGTCTATTACCATACTCTCATAGTTCAGATAACGAGGCTGTGCAACTAGGTTTGTAAAAGCGTTTGTCACTAACGACGCAAGCATCTTATCGCCGCTTCGACTCCCATTCAAGTCATTTTCAACTATATTTCGAGTAAAGTTTATCATTCTTGCCATCACCTGCGGATACACACGATATGCATTTAACATTCTTTAATATCTATGTAAAAGATATTCTCCAAGTTGTATTGGCAGAAACGCACACTGAATAATCAATACATCTATACGTCTGTCAAGAAATGACCGATGTCCCTTGCTTCTGTATAATTCATGAAACATTTAAATTGCTGATTATTCTATCAATATTTTAAGTAACAATCACAAAGATAACAAATTTCATTTACTTATTGTACTTATTTACTTACCATTTTGTTATATTATATTTACCCACACATTCTGGTTATTTATGGAACAAATGCCCTCCAAAACCTTTATTGACGATGAAAACTGATGACAGAATTTGACATTATTTACAGTAATTATACGTAGAAAAGCACGTTAAAAGTCGTCTCTGATAAGAAAGATGCAGTTTTCAAGGTATAAGGTTTTGAAGTATTCTTTAAGTCAGTTGAAGCATCAAAACAGTTTTATTCCCTTTTCCGTGAAAACATTATTGTAATATAATGTTTACTTACATCTTGTACAGCCAATGTAGCAGGGTCAGTCGTCTTATTGTCAGCGTCTGCTATGACTTCATCTAACCTTCCCACATCCTTATTTCCCTTGGGGTTTAGATCCATCACATATCCATCAGAATTCAAAACTCTTGGTACAGGGGGTTCCCATTCCCCTAACTACAAAAGAAGTGTATTTAATGTATTGGTAATAGCCACATCCGTACTTAATGTATTTAAAGTATTGATAATTGCCCTTTCACAAAATCGTTCCATCTATTGTCAAAATAATTAACATGAACCATTTTTCCGAAAGTGTAGCATTCATTTGTACGAATTACTTTCTTAGACTATAAGTACAGAATGGTGACCGAATTTTAGATTTCTCGCACTTTTTTTCCAACCGTAACAATTTAAACGATCTATTACCGGTTCGGATAAAATACAATTTAGACGATTAGAAAAAAATGTGATTCCTAACTTAAAAGCTTAGAGAGCCGAGATTGATAACGATGTAAGTCACTTATATAGTGGCATTTCTTAGACAGAATAGGAAGTGGTGGCTCTTGAATAAGATGAGTGCGTTTCTTTGCATTTGGCAAAATTTCAACTAGGGTAGTTCATAAATATCAACGAAACAAATAGAGATAATATTTAAATTGTCTTTTGCTTGATAATAAAAAATAACTCCTAACAGTTTTTCCAAAAATAAACCACGCAAAAAATTTGAAAATCAAAAAAAGCAAATGATATACGTTTCATTTATTGTCGCAGCGACGTATATTATCGACTCACTCCGAAAGACTTCAAGTCATCTTAATTTTCAACAACGGAAACACATATTGCATCATACAAAAGGCAACAAATGGAGGCCCTTAATTATGCAAGATATAAAAGATAAACTATTTATCTAAAACTTGTTTTATAAAGTCGAATCCATCAAAACCTCTTGTCGAACTCGCGACCTTTTGACTTTTTTCACCACTTACATTGAATCAACTTAAAGCTATAAACCCTTTCTCTTTTCCTGTAAATTGTCGAATGTCGGTCTTCTTGAATAGAGGTCACTTGTTTTTGTGCTACCGTTATATAACAAATAATTTCAATATTAAAAAACAAATGTAAACCTTAATTGGTATATTAACTTACGTCAATCAGGTGAATGTTACTACAAACGGCTGACACAAGTGTAATCATCATGTCACTTTTACCCATGTCATATAATTGTTGTTCGTCAAATGGATAATCAGTCTCTGTGTAACTCCTTACAATTGCTGCACCTGCTTCACTTGGACCAACATCGTTTACAGCGAACGCAGGATCAGCCTGCAGGTAAAATATTTACAACAAGCTGGAAACAATCGGGAGCATATCCATTTTGCGAATCATATAAACTCGCAAAAGACCGTATCATTCGTCACATTCCATATATTTGATGAGGCGTAAGCATTCGATGCATTTCTTAACGATTTTCTTGGCGATTTATAAGCGTGTGAAAAGTCAGCACATTGTTTTAAACGTTTATTTGATTTGCCAAATATGCTTTGTCAGAGATAATGCACAACATCGCTAAATCTGAACAAATTCGTTAAAAAATGAATGAGATATGTGACAAAGTTAAGTGAATTGGGTAAATGAATACCATATGTTAAGTTAAAATGTACTAATATATTGGAATGCAGTCAGTAAGATAACCTGTTTCCGTTAGTATTTAAACGGCATGGCTCATTGGCTTCACTCAGCCAGCCCGCATAGCTCAATCGGTTAGAGCGCGAGACTTGTAATCTCGAAATTGTGGGTTCGATTCCCGGACTGGCCAACTAAATTTACTAATCAGTCTTTCGGATGAGACTTTAAATCGAGGTCCCGTGTATGAGTGCTTAAACACTTGGCACGTTAAAGAACCAGGAGAAGCTTCTGGAACTGGGGCATCTTTCTGTATCTTGCACTATCCTCCAAAATCTAAAATGACCAATACTCTTCTGGAGGACTCGACCATATGTGCAACCGGTGGCGGGTATTTATAAACGCAAATACACACACAAAAAGATTGGCTTCACTTGTACCTTGCCGGTCTTGTCAGTTTTTACGCCTTTTATGAAAAACACGCATCAGTGTAAAACTAATAAGTTAACACTTTTGTCTTCTCGATTGAATAGACCAAATGAATGTCTATGAAGTATATTTGTGGAAAATAACTTTGTGATCGGTCTTATATTTAGTGAATATGGAACAATGAACCGTTACAATATTTTGCACACTGTATTATTACGGACATTCAAACAGTTTTCAAACAATTTTATAAACATTAAATATTTGTCGAATGGTATAATACATTGTGTAAAATGTTTGAGTACTCGTTCTGTAAATATTTGTTGTTCTCAATAGAACAATTGCTTTTGCAGAGTATGATAACTTATACGCGTTAAAACATAGTGGGCCAATATTACGTGCTGCCATTGGCTGTCATTTTCTGATTTTAGTACATGTTGTAGAAAAAAACTTCATCATTACATACACACTGGACGAAGACGTGCCGCGACTGTGTTAATCTATCAAATTGGACGTTGTTTTTATTAAAGTTTTTTTTTTGCATAAATTATGCCTTGGTGATACAATGTCATAGTCTTGAAGCTCTAATGGTTTTATTAAATATACTTAATGGCATATACATTTGCAACTACATTAAAATATGGAGTAAATGTTTATTCAAACATGTTATAATAAATAATTCTTGCAGCGAGAGACTTTTTTCCACGGACGCTGCTTTTTACCTATATTGGTGGAACGGATAAAACTACTTAGTTGCTGCCGTCTAGAAATAAAATATAAAAATACCTCTACAAAAAATAAGTTTTTAATACGGTTTTTAGACACATTAATTTGTTTTAAAATAAACGTTTAAAAAGCCATGTCTACAAACTTACACGAAAACAATGTATTTAACATTATTTAAGCTGTATATGAAATATTAATATTGATTTCAGTATCGTTTAACTCACTTTAAACCCACAATTTATAATTACATTGCAGACAAGAATTTTATAATGTTAAGTAGTAAGAATGGTAGACAATCGGGAATAAAGCCTGATAGGGTAGCAAGAGTTATTTTTCTTGCTTCCCCTTCTTTCCGGAAATAACGCAAAAGAGTTAGAAATGATTTTGTACTATATTTTTTCAAATGTCCTGCGCACCACTTTATCAGCTTTGCTCACCAAGTCAAAGACAGACATGTGGAAGCTTATTGTTTATACTTTCATAAAAAAAATTATCAGAACAATAGGAAAATTTTGAGATTCGCGCAACAGCGATCTCAAAATTAGAAAAAAATGTCATTTTTGAGCTAAAAATAACACAAATTTCAAATTAATTAGACCGTGACCTGATTATGAGACGCATTAACCTGTTCATTTATCGGTACTGTACAAAATACGTGTACTTACAGTCACTTTTTGATGTAAACGGAGAACATATACGAATAAAATAAACATTTACAAAGTTGATCCTGTTAGTAAACGGATAAAATTTTATAACGGCTATGGGTTATAAAAATGATAACGTGTTTAAGTTACACCCTGACTGCCATAAGATATAATCTGTTGCTTGAGTTATATTCTAAAACAAGTCTCTGCTAACAGTCATTCAAGCGATATGAACGACGGCATCAAGTTATGGCTATCAGCAGTAAAAAGCTTACTTTTAAGTGCAGCTTCAGCAAAATATGCAAAGAACTAAAAGTATTATAGGATCTGAACAACCATACATTATTACATGTGAAAAATTGTTAAAAAGAAATTGTATTCTTTTTGTTAAAAGGTTTAATTAAAAGAGAAAATATTTCTTATATTTGCAGCAGCCGTATTTATAAAGATCGATTACTTATGACACACTTATTTAAAACAAATTATAGTTTGAACTATATTCACTATATAGATGAGACAACAAACTATTGTCCAATGAAAAATTAACGTTACAAATTTGCAATACTATAAACAAAATATAGCAGGGCTAAACTAACTCACAGTTATCTGAAGAACCTGTTCGTGGTAGTCATTAAAGATATCTGTTACACGTATAACCAGCTCTGTTTTGTAATTGTTGTTCGGATCACCAACCTTTAATATAACGAATGACTTCTTGGAGCCTAATGAAATTTAAGAAAAATATATGTATGTGATTGTCAGAATACAAGTTATAAGAATATCTAAATATTTGCTGTATTATTCTTATACATGAAAGAATCACCTGTGTCTAAGCGGTTGGACTGAGACGTTTCATGGGTTGATAGGGACATTCAAAAACGCTGCATTAAATAATTATCGGAATTGTCAAAGAATATTGTAATCTCCTGAAAACTAGCAAAATATTCCTCCTTTGCTTACAGTAAAATAGTTTTAAAAGTCACAACATTTTAACATAATAACGGAAAATAAGTTTGATTTTACGTGTTTGTAGAATGGGCTCGTCTACTACTTTCGCTCCAATGGTAATCTGTCTCACAGTGAATGATAAAATTGGACTATCATCTTTTACTTTTGTTATTGCATCAGTTTTTACCCATGACTCACAGGCAAAAGTCAGCCACTCACGAGCAGACGTAACTGAAAAATGTTTAAATTTAAATTCATACTTTATGAGTAATAATGTTAAAACGGTAAGATGAATTTCACAGGAAAAGGATGAGTTCAGTAAAAAAAAAATCATTTACAACAAGATTAAGTAGCACAATAGATTTGATGTTCAATTAACACTTTAATTTTATGCTTTAAAACAATTCGCCGGGCAGCTTGGGAATATTTTACATATTTTCAAATATCCTGTTCAATATAAAAACCAAAACAGAGTTAAAATACCAAGAGCAAGTGAACAATTTGTTCAATGAATCGCTGTTAAAATGTCTAGAACTTTGATGCAGAAAATGATGGACCTATACGAGTTGTTCAAAGATAACATATTTTAGAGAAGAGTGTTAACATTGATAATTGCCGTAAAATGATTGTCACTAACCAGTTGTTTTGCCGGCATCAAGTTGGCATGTTCCACCGGAAGGAACAAAGTTCACTGTCTTTTTCCAATCGCCTGTGGGATGGGAATGTTTCCAGACTGTAAAAAAGTCACTGGGGATTTTTGGGATGTATTCCCAAATGGACAAAAACGAGCCAAATTTGAAATGCTTAACGAAATGTTTTGAAGACCCCGAAAAAAAAAAAATGAAAAATTTATCGCCCTTAAAACTAAAAAGGCATTTCCCTACCACCAAAGACCCCGGGTAAAAAACCCTTTTTATAAGAATGTAATGGGTTTTTTTATTGATTGGGCTGCAAAAGCTTTTCCCGTTTAAAAAAATTTTTTAAAAATTGTTCCCCAAAAATTTTTCTAAAAATTAAAAATTTGCCTTTTTATGCATTTGAATTTTTTCAACATACTTTTTTTATAAAAGTAAACATTTCAGAATATTTATCTTCTGATAGCACAATAGCCGATTTTAGTATGTTATAATAACGCCACAATTGAAAATAATTTCATCACGATCACATAATTCTTTTTATTTTATTTTTATTTTCCTGGTATTGTATTCTTAAATCTATTTATTTTTGAAAATTGATTTTATGCCAAAACGTGTCATTTGAACGTCCAAGTCCATTCTTTTATTACCTCCGGTTCCTGAGGAAGGTAATTATCAACTGAAATTGTGAACGGTGGGTTGACTACCTCTGCATTGTAAGAGTTTGTTTACTTTCATATTCAGGATTTTAAATTTGAATTAACCATTATCTCATTTTATAAATATTTATAAATTTTTGTGAGATTTTTGTTTTTTATTTAGCTGTTTTGTTTGTTTTATTATGTATTTTTTATATTAATGGTGTTTGATTTCTTTATTATTATTTTATCTTTATATTCACAAAAAGCTTATACCTGTGTCAGTTAAAATAGGCAGCAAAGGAGTTGAAAATGTAGCCCATTTGGTGTTCCATACTAAGACGGACCAGGAGTATGTAAAATTCGTTGTATCTGTCCCAGCTGGAATACTCAGGTCTAGCTCAAGCCTATCGTAGTAAAATAGCCTGTCTCGTCCAACATGACAATTATATACACAACTGAAAACAAATAACACACAAAATATATAAAATAGATAAATTTGGAAAATGAATAATGTTCCTTATTACTGTTCAATACTGGAAACAAACCAGGAGTATCAAATTAAAAATGAATAAGTAAATTGATATCTTTAACGCCAGCAATGGACATACATCATGGAGAATCTAGCTACAAGCCTAATTTGATCACAGTTTAATCACAGATAGTCAAACTGTCTCGTACAACAAATGGGACAATTATATAAAAAAAACTGAAATTCAAGGATCAATAAACAATGTGATTTAGAATCTAACATGGATCATAATTAGATAATCAAATGAGAACAAATTAAATTATGCTCTATAAAATTTTTCTTTGGAAAATAAGCAATCAATTATTTATATATTATTCTTCATGTTTTTGCATGTCACCACTTTAATCATACAGAGCAGTCACTTTTACAACGGACATACTATCACTGCCAAAATTTCACAGACGTTCTAGCTGGTTGTTTAGATTGTAGCATTGAGATGACATCCTAGTCTCCAGCACTTCAAATGGTTAAATTTAAAAATTGCATTCTAAAATTTTTGCATTTAGATAAAATAAGCAAGAATCCTTGAGTTTATATAATTATTCTCAGTTGCCAGGTTGCGTATAGCATTACTTTCATTTTTCACATTTGCTTCATGGAACAAGCAATTATGTAATATGGTTGTCAACACTGACACGCTCGACAGTTAAGAGTCAGACACGTTTTTGCCGTTGTGGAGGAAAGGTTGCCTTTAAGTGTTGAAGCATTAGAATTGCAAACCACCCTTTAATCCTGCGTTATCTTATGAGGCAACTAAACTAGTCCAAATTGTGGTGTTTTAGCATCCCGTAGCTCCAATTGGTGGGGTGGTTTTGACCCCTGGTATTGCTTTAAGGTTGATTAGCCAAATCATCTAAACTGTGTTGGTGCGCCGTAAAACAAACAAAAAACAAAGTCAGACACTTTAGCTTTAAGGCTGTAGCTCCCTAAAAATGTTGTCGTTTTTAATTCTGAACAGGCCTTAAGGTTATTACAGTTTTGTTTCTTAAATCTCAGGATTTATATTGGTCAATGTACTGTCTGCGGCTGTTTCTTACCAATTTGAGATCAGGGTTGATCTTACAGAATTGTTTTAACTTTGGACCCAAAAATTAAAAAAAAGCAGCAATTGTACAATATACATACTTTATTGAAACTGGCAAAATATTGCTCATCAGCTTCACAATTTGCATCGCTGACGCCATTCTACCTCCGCGCGATAGAGAAAACACTGCCATACAGTACGAAAATGAAGGAAACAAGGAAGTTTCAACCTTCAGTACATACTCTGTTCCATTTTGTATTTCATAAATTTTATGAGGTGCTACAGTTTGTGAAGGCAATGTTATCATAGGAAAACTTGTTAAAATTGTGTTCAAAGAACCTGGTGGTAGTGAAGAGAAAACAACAAATGACCAGGCAGCCTGCAAAGGTTCAAGCGCTTTTGATTCATTCGAAGGATCGTATGATTTGTTCCCCTTTATATTAAGCTCATTTCCAAATGGAATTTCTAGATACTCGCCGCCTGAAATATACGCAACAAGTTCCGGATCAACCACTTTCATTACGAACAAATCTTCTGTCCACTCATGACTGCTTACTGAAGGGAATTTAACCTCTAATGCCACGATATAAAGTCCGTTTTCCAGCGTTCCCCTTGCCAATTTTAAAACAGACGTATCGGGTTGTGTAAAATTTACAAAAGGAACAAAAAGCTCCTGAGTTTCATCAACATAAGTAATCCTCCAGTTTATGACAGGTGAAGTACAGACAGCACTGGTGATTTCCATGTAACTGTCGATCTGAAGATAGACAAAGATATATTTAAGTAAAGTGAGTATTGAAAAATCAGGACAATGTACAAAACCATATAACAGACTGAATGTATCATTTTTATGAATTTGTTTTACACTTTAACAATATTCTATATACTGAAAATGAAGTAACACCTTTATGTTATTTAGACTGGATCATTGTGCTACTCAAGGTAAAACAGTTTAAAAATAATTTTATGGTGGTCACTATGTTTTATGTGTCAGCTTGAATGTACACGTTGAAGTAAAACAGTTTTGCATGACTATTCAATAGCTCATGTAACATATAGGATTTCGGCAAATATTATTCGTTATTTGCCGATTACGTTCAATTAAAAAAGAGCAAAACATTCATCTTACGGTTAAGATATTATGTTTTATTTAATATCATAATTATTGTTTTTCATAATTGATAACTGCCAAAACGCATTTACGGTAGTGAATCTGTCATATTAGTTTGCCTTCAAATCAAACAGAAAATAAGCATAATGTCGCTTCAATTGAGTATAAGAAAGTTCTGAAAAAAAGGTAACCATGCAAAAACAGTTTTAAATCTTAGATGAAAAAATAGGATGCTCACTTTGAGCAATACTCCGAAAAGGAGAATTTGAAATAAACGAAACAAACAAAGAAGTCTTACACAACTGAGATAAAATATTGGGTGCATTTTAGGGCCACCAGTTAACACTTATTAGCCGCTGCCGTCATAAATTATGAAATATTACTACTGAACCTTTAGCATTTAAACCGTGTAATGTTCTAATTGAAGATATAATTAAATCCATTTTCTAATTCAGTCTCGTTTCTCTTTCCAGAGTCCATAAAAACCCATTCAAGTTTATACCGTACCTCATATAGCCTCGTTTAAAATATCAGAGTCCACAATACAAAAACTAACTGTATCAAATGCATAGTGTACACTCCAACTAGACACGTTCAAAAAGATCATACTGAATCCGTTTTGTTCTTGAAGTTTTAACAAAATGACAATAAAAGGTGGTGAGAAAAAATGAGATCATTTAACATTGAAAAGAACAATTCTAACTGTATTGGACTCGTACACAGCTGCTGCAAAACTTATGTCAGACTCGGCTAGCGTCTCGTCCAATAAAGCTACATATTATGATCAACATTGTATGACAACCTTTACAATTTCCGTGTAAATAGGGAATCATTAAAGAGCAATGTTAGCAATTACTATAAATACAAATTATATTCTCAGTCTGATAGATATTTTTAATCAGCTTTGCTTTGTTTTATTTTATTTATTCATTTGCTATTTTAAAGGCTCATTTTACCTTAGATATGCTGTCATTTCTATTTCTCAAAAACGTTGTAATTTTGGTATCTGGTTACAGTTTCCAAAAAATTACTTATCTGCCGTGTAGATGAGTTATATTTTGCTTCTTTTTTCTATGTAGCGATTGGTACAATATAGTGAAAAAGTATTTTTATGGAAGTCAAAATACTACTTTGTTTACATTTTGGGACCTTTATGACATATTATTGCACATTTAGTCTTACTGTATTCAGTTGTTTAACATCTAACATGCTCTATATCCACCATTAAAACATTACTAAACACATGCTTGACATTTCTAAAGAATTAAAAAGAATTGATTTCTGAGGCATAATGTGCCTTTAATTATCTATTTGTTTTTATAATTTCTGTGTCTGATTTTAAGTCTGTAGTGTACTTAATTAAAACTGTCAGTCATTACTTCTACTATAACTACCAGACCTGAATCGAATCTGTTGATAGGTAAAACAATGGTTTGTCAAACACTCTGTTGCTGTTGTCAAAGAAATCCGCATCTCTGAAACATTGGGAATATCGCACTGGACAGATCGTCTCAACATTTTTATTGTCCTTGCATTTCATCGACACGCTGTATATTCCAAACTAACATGAAAGAAACAAATAAAATTCACAAACATGGCTACATTATCGCATGTAAAGATTTCAATATCAAAATATAAAACATTGAGTTACCAATAGTATAAAGCCTGGTTCGACTGCTTTTATTTGCAGTCCGACCTAGCTGTATAACTTTCAAAAAGCTGGTCTAGGGTAAACTCGGGGGCAAATGAGCAATCCCAGTCTGAAGATAAGTATTTACAAGTGAAACAAACAAAAAAGTTCACAACGTGCGATGTTGATAGACCTTATATCTTGAGAAATATTCTCTCACCTCGCTGTATTGATGGTCAATTGTTTTAGGGTTCTTGTTTATTTGAACTTCTTCGTCAGGTTCCTGATCTCCCCAGGAAATTGTACATTGAGGATCGTGATTTGTGTTTACATTTCCAGGTAGAGATATACTAAGAGACAGTTCATCAGGCTTGTCGGGGTCTGCTACAGACAAAGCCATAGCATAGTCATTACAGTGGTACCCTAAAATACATTGTATCAAGAAATCATTAAACTTTAAATGAGCCTCCTAGCATTGCACGGTCAAAAGAAGTGTTGACGGATGAGTTGAAGGTCATTGGGGGAGGCTTTTGATACGATAAGCCGCCTCCAAAACATTAAACGGTCCGAATTCATAGGTTGAAGGCCGTATATACTTTTACCTGTCTTGGAGGTCACTGTTTTGCTTTTAGGCCCAATGCATTTTCTACTATTTCTTATATAATACTACACCCTACTGCATCAAAATGTAATGTAAGGATAAGCAAAATACACAGTTAACATTCACCACTCTACCTTTATAACCAATATGTAGGTTATGAACATTTTACTTCGAAGCACCAAAATTTAATAGAACTTTTCTTTGAAATTGAAGGGCACTGAAATTCAGTTATGAAATAACAGATACCGCTCGAACGATCAGTTTCATTTTTGTTGGACCGTTGACGACATCCTGAAGGGTCACTGACATATATTCAAGGAAAGACAATACAGATTGATGTAAAAGTATGCTATAATATTACACCGATGGTTAGTCGTGTAAGCGTCGACATTCTCTAAGTCTAACTTAATACTTTAACGGTCGGTTAGGATTCAAAAAAGTGTACTAGCATATTGTAATCTTTAAAACTTACTATCAGTTATGATGGACGTTTCAGGGACGTCCAAGAGCGTCTGTCCAGGTATATACAGGATTTCTAACACTCTGCCATTCTGCGTCTGTGCAGTCGAATGCTTTATATCAAAAGTTCCGTCTCCTTTAAAAAATTACAAGCACTGATGTAAAACGCAACAAACACTTATTGAATAGAAGATATATATTTAAACAAAATGATGTTGTTGTCTTGGAGTTTCTATTGCCTTTTCCGTAACTTTTTTTGTATCGTAATCCTTTTTTGATTGACATCATGATTTTTATCTGTGTTTGTTTAATGATCTCTCTACTTTTATGTGATGATCTCTTCCTTTTATATCATGATCTTTATCTGTTTGAGTATCATGATCTTTATATGTGTTTATATTATCTCTCAGTTTTATATCATGATATCTCATCTGTTTGATCATGATTTCTATCTGTTTAAATCGTAATTTCAAACTGTGTTCTGTTTTATTCTCTATATGTTATATAATTATAGTAACTCTATCTGTTTTTTTATCATGATATCATTCTTTTCATATCATAATTTCTATATGTTTGATATCATGATCTTTATCTGTTTTATCATATTCTCTTTCTTTTCTATATATATTCTCTCTATTTTATATCAGCTTAGTCATGACTCATATCATAATCTCTATTTATTTAATAGTTCAATATCTAATGGCATAGCATTGTGGACATGTATTAATTCATTAAGCGTACATTGTTAAAGGTGTTTGTAATTATTGTAAACAATCTATGAGACTGCAACTATTACAAATTAAACACGATACACTCAGTCTAGTAAACTATAATAAAGAGAAAAAAACTTACCATTCAGAACCTCAAAGGGGTATCCATTGGCTAATTGTTAAATATAAATTGAAATGAAGTAATTATAGTAGGTATATAAGAAATTTAGAACAATGTAGAAGTATACAATTGTGATGAGAAAATAATCTTTAATCCTCACAGTATAGGAATATACATTAAATGGCATGAACATGTTAAATATTTAAGTTATTTTGACAGGTTAAGTTGAGAACAAATACAATTTATATTATTTTCTTAAGATATAACTATATGAAATAAACGTTATTTCATAGATAGGTTTTTGTAGACAATCCCACCATGTAAACGTCATGTTTAAAGTTCTTTAGGAAAATTAATTGAAATCGGACAATACAAGAAGGGTATGCAGATTTTTTAATATCGCAGTATCTTTGTGGATTTTTGTACACAAGAAAGAACAACATATTAAACTTTTTTTCTTTGATATTACATACATTTGTAGGCAAAAGTGACCAAAAATGCAATAAGCAATGTTGATTCCGTCACAAACCACATTCCTGTAAAAGAAAATGCAAACATCATTATGTGCACACATTTCAAACCTTGCAATAGAAATATCCATATGACAGCATACTTATATTGCTTAGGTGATGAGTGAACGTCGTTTACTCGGTTATGTTTATCTTATGTCTTAATGGAGACGCACCTTGTCTCTTCTTCAGTCCCTTTCTTTTCAATTCTATGAATAAAGGACACAGAGATGAACGTTTGAAATGAACAAAAAGAAAAAATGTATTTGACATAATATTAATCAGGCATTCATAGCTATACTAAATGACATTTTCCATAAACAAAAGTGGCAAGTTAATGGTGCATAAAAATCGTGATTTAATATATAAATTATATAGAGGATATTTGTTTAGTTCAGTGTAAGATCGAAATATATTTCACCGAGTGAGCACCAAAAGGTATATTTCACGAGTGGCGCAGCCACGAGTGAAATATGAACTTTTGGTGTTCACAAGGTGAAATGTATTTCGATCGTACACTAAACTAAACAAATTTTCTTTTTATTATATGCAAATAAACGTTTTAAAAAGACATTAAACCTTATACTGAATGAAAAGCGCGCCAAATAATAATACAACATGACGTCATTTACGACGTCACGTCATTAAGTTGGTTGTCATTCCTGTGCACGCTGGTAGTTCACTGAAACAACGTAAGGGGCTTAAAATCAAAACAGTGAAATTATCAAAGTGGTAATTTCACTGTTTGAAACAGTGAAATTACCAGTTTTATATCACTGATATATTTCTATAAACCACCGAAAAGCATGTAATAAATAGAGGATATTTGTTGGTTGTGTGTAAGATGAAATTTTATTTCATCGAGTAGGCTTTAAAAACAGTATTCTCACGAGTGGCGTTAACACATAAAACAATTTGTGAGAATATCAAAACAATAATAATTAGGAAGTCAAACTTTCGTTCAGCACAACATTATTGTTGTGTTTGTTGTACTTTTTAGATTTCACTTTTAGTCATTTTTCTACTTGGATGGTTCCTAAATTCTTACTTGAATAATGTTTAATCACTCTTAGGATATGTTGCCTGCTTTTTAAATTTGTCTTTTGACGTCTTATCTGTGATATGCAGGCTTCATAACCTCAGATCCCCTTTCAAAATTCCATTTTTTTTAGTTCCGCCAATTGTTTTCACGTTTAGGGCACACGCATTTTTTTAATTTGGGACCATATGTCGCTTTTTATGTAATGGCACTAACGTGTCACATTGATGACAGTGTTCTATGATGACCGCCGTATGAACACATCTGCGGATGTTTTAAAATTCAAAATTTTACCATTTTCATGTTTAAATGTTGAATTCTCTTAGGCCGGTGCCAGGGTTGTGGACGGTGGTTTGCTCTTGACAGTACCTACCATGAACAGGCTCAATCAAACCGAGCCTGCAACATTTTCAGTTTTGCCGTGTTGGGCTTTCTTAGGGATTATTGTTTTCTCTAATTTTTTTTTCAATTTTGCTTTCTAGACAAGACACATCTACACAGCGTTTGATAATTAAATTGCTTTTCTTCCTTTATCTTGTACTACATTAGGTCATTATTGATAAGCCCAAATTTATTTTGCATCTAATATATTCATATTTATATATATCATTACAAATGTAATTGTCTCATGCTTTTGTATTTTTTATATATTGAATAAACTTGAAATTTTTAAATTTTTGATAACAAAATTCACATCATTCTGTAAATCTTTCTATCTTGATACATTTGTTGCTTTTTAATTATTTCTCTCTTATGAGCGGACGAACATTTATTTGTTTTATGACAAAATACAAATTGTATGGTTTATTTTCAAGTAGCATAATTTCGTTTCCATGACTATATAAATATTGAGATTTTTTTTTTATTATTTATATTTATTAAACTATTTATTTTTGTAATTGTAAAAACGCCTGTCAACCTCATTATTTTAATAATAATTTAATTGTCGTGTTCACAAGGTAAGAAACCGATATTTATCTGGTTAACAAGTGACATTTTTCTGTTTAATAGTAAAAAGTATTTTATTTCGAAAAAAAAAAATAATCCCAAAATGTGCCTACATCTGTCGATACTTATTAGTTTTTAATAATTGACAAGTATCTGTTTTTCTTAAAAGTAAATACGATACGTTGATTACTTATATCAGATATTTATCTGTACAACTAGAAAAAAATCATGTTATTAGGTAAAACTGAATATTTCACAGATATCACCTTCGTTTCATAAATTATCTCAGTTCTTCAGTTTTGTTATTTGAGAGGCATGGTCATTACGCCAAATTCTAAAAATAGAAATAAAACAAGTATGAATTTTTATTTTGTTTCGAGTTATAATCTTGTTCGAGAAGCTGGAATTTAAGTTTACTCATGCAGCCTCATATAAAAAAAGATTATTTATTATAAATACGCATTTAATATTAATTTGTCAATTTTAACAAATAAAATATATTCATTTGCTGTTTAATTATTTT